TTGCTTTAGTTATGGATGGTTTTACTGGACATCTACAGGAGGATGTACCTCGGTGTATGTTTTTTGATGATGATATCCTTCTTGTGGATAAAATGAGAGAAAAAGCCCAGGAAAAACTTGAATTATGGAGGTTTACATTGGAGTATAAAGGCCTTCATTTAAGTAGAACTAAAACTGAATACATGGAATGTAATTTTAGTAGTAATAGCTCTAGTGACAGAAGTGTGACTTTGGGTGATCAAATTATTAAAAGGTGTGAACGATTTAGATATCTTGGGCCCGTTGTTCAAAGCGATGGTGATATAGATGAGGATGTTAATAGTAGAATTCAAGTTGGTTGGTTGAAGTGGAGGAATGCTTCGGGCCTTTGTGTGATAGAAAAGCACCGCTTAGACTGAAAGGAAAATTTTATAAGACGGTGGTGAGACTGCAATGCTATATGACGCTGAATGTTGGCCTTTAAAAGAGAAGCATAATAATAAGTTAAGTGTTGCCGAGATGAGAATGATTAGGTGGATGAGTGGCTTTACACTTTGAGACAAAATGTGAAATGATTATATCCATGATAGGGTTGGTGTAGCTCCTGTGACCGAAAAAATTTGAGAAAGTCATCTTAGATGGTTTGGTCACATTAAACGTCGACCATCAGATTATCCGATTAGCAGAGTAGATGTTTTAGATTCGACTTGTGTTAAGAAAGGCAGAGGTAGAACTAGGAAGATTTGGGCTTATTGTATTAAAAATGATCTTAATTTACTAGAACTAAATGAAAATATGACACTAAATAGGACGCAATGGCGAAAAAGGATTCATGTAGCCGACCTTACATAGTGGGATTAACGCTTTGTTGTTGTATTCAAAATTAACTTTTATGCTTTTCTGGGGATAAATGATAACTAATTATTTCTTAGTCCATATTTTTGGAGAGAAAAATTATACAATGTTTAAAATTCGTACCACCGAACTCCAAGAGATAATTCCAAAGAACTCTTGCAGATGAACTTCTCTTGATCACCAAGACTACCAAGAACCTGCAATGCTTTAAAGATCTGAACAACCTTTCAGTTCTTGAAGTTGAAGGACTGGATTGTCCAAGAACACCTTCAGCTTTAAGGAATTGTCAAAGACACATACTGCTAAGGAGAGGAAATACCAAAGATCACTTCCTGTAGGTCGAGTATCTCTCTAGCTTGCATTCTGGTCTGTTCTTGGAGATAGTTGAACACCATGGATTACCTAAGAACCTGCTTGTAGTCAGCAGGTTGACGAAAGAGCACTTGTTGCCTCCTGTAGCCGAAGAACACTTGTTGTCCCAAGAGAAGAATGTTTATATTTGTCGTAATCTTTCTGAGTCATCCGAAAGCCTGAAGTGTTGCACTCCTCGCTACCCCCTTGCTGCCAAAATACCAGGACAACTTTCCGTTCTTTTACAGCCTGAGATACTTATATTTGAACAGCCCAAAGATGCCAATTGTTGCTAGATAGCCAAAGGAATGGGAAAACCTGGGTTGCCGTGTATTAGCTTTTGTAGCCAAGAAATGGAAAAATGCAGCAAGCAAGACGAGAAAAAACAGGAAAGAAAAATTGCAGGAATAAAGATTCAACGCAAGAACACATGAGAACAATCATTTACGTGGTTCGGTCCATAGACGTACATCCACGGAGGGAATCAACTATCAATCCACTAAAGCAAAGAAGAATTACAAGGCTTCCTTTTACATTGAGGAATGACCAATCCTTTTGATCTCTCACCCTCGAAACTACCTCGATACAAGATTAAACACTCCTCCCTCAATTCTTGAAGCCTCTCCATTTCTTCTTTTTCTTGGACAAATTTTCTTCCTCCTCTTGGTCTTTCCCCTTGGTCTGCTTTCTATCTTTCTCCATGTAGTGGCCACTCCCCTCTACAAGCCTATCTTCTTCCCTTGTAGTAGACTCTTCTCCTAATTTCCTACAAGCCTCCCTCATCTATTTAAAGATGAGCCCCCCCCTAAGTAGACCATAGAAGCTCACAAGAAAATCACAAGTATGTCATTGTCTTTAATTAATAAATTGAGAGTCATATATAATAATTCTTTTCCTTGACTCAATTACGACACTTCATAATAGAGATTCCCTCCACCTTGCTCCAAGGGGCCCTTAGCCCTTGGTTGAGTCTGCTAAGTTCAGACAGTTCCTGAACATAACAATCACAGTTCTTCCGATTAGAGAATATTGTCCCTCTTTCCTTACTCTTTTCACGACAATACAAGAACCTTTAGTTACTCTGATATGACCATTTTCTACCTTAAAAGAGTATTCGCTTGTCTCCAACATACCTAAAGAAATCAAATTTCTTTTGAGCTCCGGAACGTACCTGACATGTTGCAATATTCTTTCGGCTCCATCGAACATCTTTTTTCTGATTGTTTCACTGCCGACCACCCTGCAAACCCTGTTATCTCCAAGTAGTACGGACACATGTGGAAAGAGCACCCAGACTCAAGGATCCACTCTTTGCTGGATTTTGATTCGGTGATCACCAGGGCTCCAGCTGAATCATAGCCGTCCGAGGCTATACTCGCTTCTTCAGGATCTTTAGGATTTTCTTGATATTTATTCTTCCTGTCAGGACAATTCCTCTTGAAGTGACCATTCTTGTGACAATGATAACACTTGAAAGATCCTTTTGATGACTGATTTCTGCCCTCCTTTCTTGATCTCGATCTGCTCTAACAGTTTCTTGAATCTTTCTTGTCCGATCTTTCTCTAACAGGAAGATTGTCTCCGTTGATTTCTTTGTACATCTCATGCTTTCTTTGGAGTTCATTGGCTCTAATCAGTGTTTGAACCTCTTCCAGAGAAATTGTTACACCCTTCCATAGAGCATCACATCTTTGAAATACTCGTAGCTCTTAGGAATGGATTTCAGCAACAGTAGTTCTTGTCCTCGTCATCCATCTTGACGTCGATGTTTCCAAGATCGTCCATGACCTTGTTGAACTCGTCGATCTGCTATGAGACGGGCTTTTCTTCATGCATCTTGAACGAGTACAAGCGTTGCTTTAGGAAGAGTCTATTCGCCAAAGATTTCGTCATATAGAGTAATTCGAGTTTGGCCCAAATCGCTTGAGTCGTTGTCTCCCTCGAAACTTCTCTCAGAACTTTATCGTCAAGGCTCAAGATTATCAAATTGTGAGCTCTGTTCAAAATCTCGTTCTTTTCTTTCTCGGTCATGTCGGCCGGCAATGCCGTCGGGCCTTGCAAGGCTTCTACAACGCCTTGCTGCACCAACAAAGCTTTCATCTTCACTCTCCATAGGCCGAAGTCGTTTTTCCCGGTGAATTTCTCGATGTTGAATTTGGTGGTTACCAGTATCGTGGCTGGAATTCCCACAGACGGCGCCAATTGTTGAAAATTTACACCACCAAACTCTAAGAGATAATTCTAAAGAACTCCTGCAGCTGAACTTTGCTTGATCACCAAGACAACCAAGAACCTGCAATGCTTTAAAGATCTGAACAACCTTTTAGTTCTTGAAGTCGAAGGACTGGATTGTCCAAGAACACCTTCAGCTTTAAGGAATTGTCGAAGACACCTACTGCTAAGTAGAAGGAATACCGAAGATCACTTCCTGTAGGTCGAGTATCTCTCTAGCTTGCCTTCAAGACTGTTCTTGGAGATAATTGAACACCATAGATTACTTAAGAACATGCTTGTAGATAGCAAGTCGACGAAAGAGCACCTGCTGCCTCCTGTAGCCGAAGAACACCTGTTGTCCCAAGAGAGGAAAGTTGATATTTGCCGCAATCTTTCTGAGTCATCCGAAAGCCTGAAGTGTTGCAATCCTCGCTACCCCCTTGCTGCCAAAATACCAGGATAGCTTCCCATTCTTTTACATCCTGAGATACTTCTATTTGGACAGCCGAAAGACACCAGTTGTTGCTAGACATCCAAAGGAATGAAAAAGCCTGGGCTGCCGTGTAACACCTTCTGTAGCCAAGAAGTGGAAAAATGCAGCAAGCAAGACGAGAAAAAACAGGAAAGAAAAATTGCAAGAATAAAGATTCAACGCAAGAGCACAAGAGAACAATCAATTACGTGGTTCGGTCCATAGACCTACATCCATGGAGGGAATCAACTATCAATCCACTAAAGCAAATAAGAATTGCAAGGTTTCCTTTTACATTGAGGAATGACCAATCCTCTTGATCTCTTACCCTCGAAACTACCTCAATACAAGATCAAACACTCCTCCCTCAATTCTTGAAGCATCTCCCTTTCTTCTTCTTCTTGGACAAATTTCCTTAATCTTCTTGGTCTTTCCTCTTAGTCTGATTTCTATCTTCCTCCTTGTAGTGTCCTCTCCCCTTTACAAACATATCTTCTTCCCTTGTAGTAGACTCTTCTCCTAATTTCCTACAAGCCTCCCTCATATATTTATAGATGACGCCCTAAGTAGACCATTGAAGCTCACAAGGAAATCACAAGTATGTCATTACCTTTAATTAATTAATTGAGAGTCATATATATAACATACAATGATGCATATGAGTGAGAGCTCGACTCTATAGTCTTTACTATTCATTAAAAAATCAAATCGCAAGAAGCTCGCCAGTTTAGAAAAATTGTATAATTAAATATTATGATTGGCCATCAAAGCATATGTCGTGTGAAATCAACCAATTCGACTTTTGACGCCGACTTTTTAGACTAGTTCATTCCTTCCCACAGCCATACTGAAATATCGTCCTTCAGAATCTCATTTTCCATTAATTAATGCCCCATCCCACCACACCCACCATAGTCCAAACTTATCAAAGCAGCTAGGACAAACAGTCAACGGCGATCCACCCTTGTCAATTTCGCTTCAGTTATCCGGTCAACCTCAACCCTCCTTCCCCGCTTGATGCGGCTAAGAATAAGATCAGACCGTTGAATTTATTTTACCATTTTGTATTCTAATTTATTATTAATTACTCGCCCGCAGGCTTTTGAACTAGCCAGCTGCAATCCTTTTTGTTATCTTCCTTTTGTCCGCGGCATCGGCGTTCTTCGAATCCGATTCTCCCTTTTTAAATATATCGTCTTTCTCACTTTGGTGAAAGAAAGGTGATATTTTGATTCTTCTCTGTGTTTGTCTGCGTTGGATTCGGGAAGAAAATGGCGGCAGCGAACAGAGGGCGAGCAGAACACTGTTCCAGTCCGGAGAGGACGAAAGTATGGACGGAGACGACGAGGAAGAAGAAGGTTTCTGTTGTTTACTATCTCTCAAGGAATGGGCAGCTTGAACAGCCTCATTTCATGGAGGTCACTCTCTCTTCAAGAGATGGACTTTACTTGAGAGGTATCTATTCGTGTATAAAAATCTTCATCTCCTCGCTGCAAAAGCTTCTTTTTCCCTTTAAAAATTTATTTTTTGTTGCTTTGGAATCACAGATGTCATCAACCGTCTTAATTTTCTCCGAGGAAATGGAATGGGGAGTTTGTATTCTTGGTCATCGAAGAGGTTAGTAATTGCTTTTATCCGTTTTTCTTAAGAGTTATGTTTTTTTGGATCCAAGTTCTGATTTTCTTCATGTTTTTTTATTTTATCAGGAGCTATAAGAATGGATTCGTGTGGCACGATCTGTCAGAAGACGATTTTATATATCCAGCACATGGGCAGGAGTATGTTCTCAAAGGCTCTGAGCTTCTTCGATCTTCTTCTTCCCCTGCATCACACGAAACTACAGACTCTGAGAGGGCGGATTTCCCTCCGGAGAGAAGGAAGAAGATGCCGTCGAGGTCTACTTCTATTGATTTTGCAGAATATAAAGTCTACAAGGACAAATTGATGTCAGCGGATGCTTCCGTGAAGGCGTTAGACGCGGCTACGCAGACGGACGACGAGTGGAGGCGGCGGCGGCGGAGGGTTTTTGGGGAGGGTGAGGACGTCGGAGAAAACGGAGGAGAAGTTATGGTGGAAGAGGGTAATCCGACGACGGAGCTCTGCTGCGACGAGATATCTCCACCGCCATCTTCTTCGAGCACGGAGACCTTGGAATCCCTTATTAAGTCCGACGGACGCATCACTGTTACATCCGCCGTCGGAGTTGGCGATGAGAATCTCCGGTCGGCGGCGGGATGCACATCTGGGAGGTTTCGAGCTTCCGCGTCGGCTGTGCTGATGAATCTTATTTCTTGCGGCTCGATCTCAGTGAAGGATCACGGCGGCGTTACCGGCGGCGGGTACTTTCCACCTCCGCGGGGCAGGCCGGCGGAGCATTCGGAGGTAGGTGAAAAAATAGATGGTATTATAGTTATTACTATAAATAATATTATTATATATTCTCAATTCGCTTATTCGATGAAATGTTTGTTCTAATATCTGAATTAGGGCTCAAAATTATAATTAAAAGGTCAAATCATGTTTTTGGAGCCTCCAAGTTAAAAATTTCTATCCGTTTATTTTAATCCAATTCATTTAGGATTCTATTTTAATAAGATTAAAATAAATTGAATAATTGAAATGAGAGGCTTCTATTGTCTTATTATTATTATTATTATTATTA